CTCCACCTCTTTGTGGACTCCTTTTCCCGACGGAATGTGTTTTATCCACGGAAGGCGGTGCCTACCTCACAGAGCTCTTGTAGGGAGTAAATTGGGCATTTTGAGTGCCTAGCCCAGTAGCTGGCACATAGCAAGTGCTCATTAAACAGAAAGTAAGGGGCGCCTGGGTGGCGCAGTCGGTTAAGCGTCCGACTTCAGCCAGGTCACGATCTCGCGGTCCGTGAGTTCGAGCCCCGCGTCGGGCTCTGGGCTGATGGCTCAGAGCCTGGAGCCTGTTTCCGATTCTGTGTCTCCCTCTCTCTCTGCCCCTCCCCCGTTCATGCTCTGTCTCGCTCTGTCCCAAAAATAAAAAATAAACGTTGAAAAAAAAATTAAAAAAAAAAATAAACAGAAAGTAAGAATAATTACAATTGTTACTATTTTGTGTCATTTTCAATCTTCTTAGGCCAGCATGCCAGGACGATCATGATCTGTCCCTAGAAACCATTTTTGCTTTATCTCTCAGCCACCTTCCCTGATGCCTATGCTCTGGCCACGTGCAATCCCTCAAACATGCCAAGTTTTCCTCAGTTTCCTGCCATGTCGGTCTCTCTCCCTGGATAGCCTTGCCTAACCCCACTTCACTTCACCTAGTTAACTCTTTGGAACTCAGTCACCTCCTCTAGCTCTCCTGACACCCCTGTCTCTACCAAATTCAGAGTCAGTATATGCCTCTCCTGTCCCACTAGGAACACCGTTTCACAGCTCTGGGTCCAGCATCCAGTGCAACAGCTGGTACATAATATATGTTAAGTAAATGACAGCTGAACGAAGGGCGGTATCCCGGATTATAATGTTAGAGAAAAATTCATCTTCAAGTTTTTCTCACGACCACTTAAATTATCCTTGAGGGATAAATCAAGCATAATATCAAATACATACGTGCATATTTAGATATAAAGTGTAATATGATATGTGGATTCAATGTATCCAACTTATTCCCTACAAGAGCTACCTATGAGGTAGGCACTGCCTTCTGTGGATATAAAAACAAGAATCAAAGAAAGACGCCTAGTTTTCAATATTATACTTCAGGACAGGAACTTACTTTTAAGGAAAATGTTGTATATAACTCTATGCTTAGAACAAATAACTATCCAATCTAAAGCCAACAGTTACTTACTGCTTAGCTGTTTCCCAACTGGGCAGTCCTCAGTAGCCCTCAGAGGCCAGGCAGTCATTGTCACATCACAGACCCCCTAACACTGTTGGCAGTGATCCCGCTGCCCCTCTTAGTCCTGACTCACAGGGTAGGGAGACCCACAATGGGTAAGGGACTTTAAGGAGTGGAAAGAGAAAGACTTTTCTGTCTTCCATCTTTGACTTCACCAATAGGCTGTCACTGTTGATGACTCACAAATGATTGTTACCTCACATTCTACCTGGATTGTATCCAGGGGCAGGCTTCTGGAAAATCATGTTGCAGTCAGGGGTTTTGTATGTGATGAATCATTTCTCTTGCTGCTCTCGAGATGCTGTCTTTGGCTTTTGGTGGCTTGACTATGATGTGCCTATGCATGGATCCCTTTGAGTGTATACTAGAAATTTGTTGAGCTTCCTGGAAATGCAGATTTGGTATAGTGTTTCTTCAAAGTTGAGAAGTTTTTGGCCATTATCTCTTAAAATATTCTTTTTTCCACTTTCTTTATTCTTCTTGGACTCCTTTTGCATGTACATTAGCTCAATGGTGTCCTAAAGGTGTCTGGGGCTCTGTTCATTTTTCTTCATTTTTCTTTCTATTGCTTAGACTGGATAATCTCAATTGATCTGTTTTCAAGTGTACTGATTCTTCAGCCAGATCAAATTGCTCTCGATCCCCTCTATTTTTCATTTGTAACTGTAGAATTTCTATTTGGTTCTTATTTTTTAAATAATTTCTATTTATTGATATCCTCTATTTGGTAAGACCTAATTCTCAAGCTTTTCTTTAATTCTTCAGGCATGGTTTCTTTAATTCTTTGACCATATTTATTTTATTTAGAAAAATTTTTTTAATGTTCATTTATTTTTGAGACAGAGAGAGACAGAGCATGAATGGGGGAGGGGCAGAGAGAGGGAGACACAGAATCTGAAGCAGGCTCCAGGCTCTGAGCTGTCAGCATAGAGCCTGACGGGGGGCTTGAACTCACGGACCGCGAGATCATGACCTGAGCCGAAGTCGGATGCTTAACTGACTGAGCCACCCAGGCGCCCCTCTTTGACCATATTTATAATAGCTGATGTAAAATCTTGGTCTAGGAAGACCATCATCTCCAGTTTCTCAGATAGTTTCTAACCAAAAAGAATAACTCAAAATAATAGTTTCTATTGATGCTTTTTCCCTCCATGTGTAAACCATTCTTTCCTGTTTCTTTGTGTGTGTCCTAAGTTTTTGTTGAAACTGGGCATTTAAAATAATATAATTTTAAATAATATCATCTAAACAATATAATATCATACAAATAATACAATATAGCAACCCTAGAAATGTGATGTCCCCCCTCCTCAGGTTCATTGTTTCTTGTTGTCGTCGTCGTTGTTGTTATCGCTATTTGCTTGTTTAGTGACTTTCCTGGACTAATTCTGAAAAGTCTCTTTTTTTTGTCTTGTATGGCCACTAAAGTCTGCTTGCTTAGCTTAGTGGTCAGCTAATGATTGAACTAAGAGATTTCCTTGAACTGGCAAGTGTCTCTCCCTTTGCTGAGGGACTCTGTGTAGGTGTGTGTGTTGGGGCATGACTTAGGTGATTTGCAATTCTGCCTTAGCCCTCACTTCCTTGCTTGTGCAGGACATCAAAGTCAGCCTGAGGTGAAAGATTATGACCCTCCTCAGGTCTTTCTTGGGTATGTACTCAGTCAAATACACGTGACCTTCTAGATTTCCAGAAATATGTTAGAACTTTTCAGAATCTTCATGTTGTTCTCTGTTTTTCCTTTTAAGTTTTTGCTCAGCTTCTTATTAGCTCCAACTGGTGACACTGTCACAGGAAACTGAGATATTAAAAACTTGCCACTGTTTTCTTTTTTTTTTTTTTTTTTTTTTTTTTTTTTTGACAAATGCCCTGAGGATAGGGTCATTTACACACAATTAGCATTGAGTTAGGTCAAATAAAGACAAGTCCTGTGGCTGGAGCTTTTCAGTGAACTGCCAGACAAGTCAAGTAGTGATAATTCTTTGGAGATGGGGAATTCTCTGGACTCCAAACTCAACCTGTCCTCTTACTTGTCCATTCCAGGTGTCCCAGTCATTGATTTTAATCATTACTCTTTTCTAATATATGTACTTAAGAATGTCAGTTTCCCTATAAGTACACTTACTTGGATCTCACACATTTTGACATGTCACATTTAAAAAAAATATTTTTCATGTTTATTTATTTTTGAAAGAGAGAGAGAGAGAGAGAGCATGATCAGGGGAGGGGCAGAGAAGGAGACACAGAATCCGAAGCAGGCTCCAGCCTCCGAGCTGTTAGCATAGAGCCCGACATGAGGCTCGAACTCACAAACAGATCATGACCTGAGCCAAAGTTGGACACTCAACCGACTGAGCCACCCAGGCACCCCAATGTTTATTTATAATTACACATATTTTTTATCTTTTCTGTTGCTCTTCATTTCTTCCTGCATCTCTATGTTTCTCTTTGAGATCATTTTCTTTTACATCTCCCCAAATCATACCCTAAACCTAAAGTTTCCTTTATTATGGGTTTTGTGATGACTTCTCTCAGTGCTTATTTGTTAAAAATACTTTTATTTTACCTTAATATTTATACTATCTAACAGATTTTATTATAGAATGGTTTGCTTAACATGCTTCTACTGTGGTGTAAACAAATGATTCTTTCCTTTCATTTTTTCATTCTTCACAGTATTGAGTATTTTATGGCAATAGGATTTCAAAACATTGTAAGAAATGAATTTTAATGTCTATAAACATAGTGTGTCCAATGTGCTGCTTAACTTATCTGTTCAATCTTTTTTTTTTTAAGTAGAGGGAAGCTCTGTGTCTTTTTAAAAATTTTTAAATGTTTATTTATTTATTTTTAGAGAGAGGGAGAGAGCATGAGTGCAGAGGGGCAGAGACAGAGGGAGAGAGAGAATCTCAAGCAGGTTCCATGCTGTCAATGCAGAACCCAGTGCGGGCCTTGATCTCATGAACTGTGAGATCATGACCTGAGCCAAAATCAAGAATCAGACACAACCAACTGAGCCACCCAGGCACCCCTCAATCTTTACTTTTATTTACTAAATATTATTCAGGTCCAAAACATCCATGTGATTATTTCACACAGTTTTCACGGGTTTTTTTTGTGTCCCGTTTATTCATCTTGATTTTTAATTCCATGAACATGTTAATAATAGTTCAAAGTGTATGTCTTATTGAAGATCCAGATCTTCTGTGGATGTCTTTCCATTGTCTGTTTTTCTTCTCTTGGTTTTCTACCAAAACTTGTTTTCTTACATGGCTGGTTACTTTCACTGATGTTATCTTTTTCCAGAGGTACTTATTTTTGCTTCTAGTAAGCAGAGAGGCTAGAGAAGCTGATTACTTGATTCCAATCAGGAGTTGATATGGTTCTAAAACTAGGCTTTAATCTCTATGAGATATGCTTCTCCAATTGACTCTTACTCCAAAAAAAAAAAAAAAAAAAAAAAAAAAAAAAAAAAAAGCTTACGATGTTTTCCAGAACATCTCCTCTCTGATACATCCTTAGCTCTAATTGTAGCCCTCCAAGCCCCTTTATATTGCTGGAACTTCCGTTCACACCCTCTAGCTTTTCATTCACTGCTTTCACTTTTGGAAGCAGCTTCAAATGTCACTCATCTCTACTGACTTTATTCCTTATTCAGATCTTGGCCTCCAAACTTCTCCCTGACTCAGTATTTCTGAGATGTCCAGCACTGCTACTTGTTCTCAGCAGGATATGTTGTCTGAAACAACCTGGTCAGCCACTGTCCAGTGGAAAACTCATAGGGGGGGCTTATAACCAAAGGAGTGACATGATGTAACTCAAGATTGTTGACCTGGCCAGAAGGCCGAAAGTAGGTGAAAATAAATTGATTATATAATTGATATGGCTAACATTTATTGATCATTAACTATGTGCCCAGTTGCTGTTCTAAGTGCTTTTACACGTATTTTCTCACAACAAACTAACAAATTAGATATTATTGCTACTCCATTTTATAAGAGAAGAAAGAAATGCATAGAGAAGTCAAGAAACTTGCCTAAGGTCATGCAGAAGTAGAGCCCACATTTGAACTTACGCAGTTTTGTTTGGAACACATACCTGTCTGATACAGAAGGTTGCTGTGGTAATGGAGGCAACAGATAGTCTGAGTCATGACTGGTATTGTAGCTGGGAAGTCAGAGAGGAATAGATAGCTACAAGAAATATTTCAAAGAAAGACTCATTAGCTGATCAAAAGAGTTGCATGGGATTAAGATGGAGGAAGTAAGGGCAAGACTAAGGTATGGGGCCTAAGTGCCTGGAGCATGACCATGCGTTTACTAAAAATTTATTGAGATGCAGTTGATTTAGATGAGTTGCAGTATTCTTACATGAATGTATTCTTACATGAATACATTCTTACAGTATTCTCCAGGTTTCATGTAATTCATGATTCATAAAATGTTGGCTGTTCCCAATAAATCTTACAGCCTCTGGGGGGAATGGCAAATGAAATTATTATTGCTGAATGTGAATGGAGTACTGAAAATAACTTGAGCATCAGCATCAATGTGCTCAGAGGATTGAAAAGGATAAACTTTTCCCTAGTGCTGCCTGCTTTGCACCAAATCAATGGCTCCTGTTCACTCAAGACACAAAGTTTAGCTTACATTCTGTTCAATATTATTTTTAAAATTTGTATGACCATTATTGCCAATTTTCAGAAAAATGCATATTCATTGTGAAAAATATTAGGAAACAGAGCAAGGATAAAAAAGAAAATTAAAATCATCCATAACCCAGTACTCAGAGGTAACCACTATAAACATTTGGGGTACAGTTTTCCACTCTTTTTCCTATGCTTATGGCTAGATATATTCTATGAGACTGGTTTTGTGCTGTGCCTGGTGCTTCGTGGCTTGCCTTTGTATGCAGTAATGTATCATAAGCACTTCCCCATTTCTTTAAATATTTCTGAGAACATGATTTTTAATAACTGCAAGAGTGCACATTCCCTTATTTTTGGAAATTGATTTATTCCATGAGGAATATAGATTATTTTCCTGGAAGAGTAGGTCAACCCGGAAAATTGCTCACAGAAGAAGACAATGGCAACGTAATCAATCATTGCTGCCCATGGCCTCAGTCTCTGTATTGAAAGAAGAGAATTCTTTCTAGCAGTACCCGTTATAGAAAGGGATCATTCATGGGAAGTTGGCCTTGTGAAGGCGGAGACTTTGTTTTGTTCCTGCTGTACTCACAGCGCCCATTTTACAAAGAGCTTCTGAAATAAAGCAGAAAAACATAACCCAATAGATAAAAGACCAAAGGATGTGAATACTTTGGTTGTAGACAAATAAAAATGACTCTATGAAAAAATTTCCAACCACACTTAAAGAGAAATGCAATTGAAAATAAATATTGCGTTTCCTACCTATCAAACTGCCAGAAATCCAAAAGTTTAACAATACACTCTGTTAACACAACTGTATAGAAATAGGGCCCCTTGTACAGTGCTGGTCAGAATGCAAAATGTTTCAACCCCTAAAGAGGGGAATTTGTCAGTGTCTAACAAAATTATAGATGCATTTACCTTTTGATTCAGCAATTCCACTTCTGGAAGTATATCCCACAGGTACACCTATTCAAGTACAAAATGATACTTATAAAGGTTATTCAGTTCATTGGAGTATTGTTTGTAACTTCAAAAGATTGGAAATAATCCACTTGTCCAGCAACACGGGACAACTTAAATAAATTATGGCATGTCACCGAGCAGAGTACTATGCAGCTGTTAAAAAAATACAGCAAAGGTTCTATAGGTTGATATGGAGAGTTCTCCAGGACATATAAAGTGAAAAAATCACCATCAACAAGGTGCAGAATACTGCTACATATTGTATAAAGGAGAAAATAAGAATATATACCTATGTATTTGCTTATATTTGCACAAAGGGATATTAGAAGAAAAACACCAAGCTAATAAAAATGGTTATTTCTGAGGGAAATGGTGTAGGGGAAGGGGTAGAAGCAAGACTTTTCTGTGAATACCTTCCATGAAGGCTTTGGTCTTTGAACAATGTAAATGGATAATATATTCTAAAACAAAAAAAATCTTAAAATTGGAAACAAACACATGAACATAACCATACATCAAATATTACCATGCCCACATGTACCTTGAGGGCACAGTGCTTTGACTTTACCTCTTAGTAGCTACAGCTACATGATGTTGGTAGAAAGGTACCATGTGAGATCTTACAATGTATACTGCATGCAGGTGGGTGTTAGGGGATGATTTGCACCCCCCAGAATGTCATATGTTGAAGTTCTAACCCCAATACCTCAGAATGTGACCATATTTAGAGATAGGGTCCTTAAAGAGGTAATGAAGTTAAAATGAGGTCACTGGGGTGGGCCTTAATCCAATGACCGGTGTCCTTATAAGAAGAGGAAATAGGACACAAACATGCACTGACGAAAGACCATGGGCAGACATAGGAGAAGACGGCCATCTACAAACCAAAGAGAAAGGTCTCAGAAGAAACCAAACCTGCCAACACCTTCAACTTGAACTTCTAGCCCCCTGAACTGTGAGAAAAATTAATTTGTTGTTTAAGCCAACTAGTCTGTGGAACTCTGTTACAGTGGCCCTAGAAAACCAATACAGCAAGGGCTTTTTATTTGCTTACTGTTTCATTCCTGCACTTAGAACAGTGTCTGGCATATAATAAACATAGTCATTGAAGGAAAAAGGGAAGGAAGGAAGGAAGGAAGGAAGGAAGGAAGGAAGGAAGGAAGGA